CTGGAGGGCCACTCTGCCCAGATCCCGGACCCAGCCTTAACCCTGACCCGTAATCCCTCGAGCAGCTGGAGTTTCACTTCTGGTCTCTAACATTAGGGTAGGTCAAGGGCCATGTGTCTCTTTTAATAGGTAAAAACATTCCAATATGACTCATAAATTTTAAAATCACTGCAAAAATAGGATAAATGTGACCCAGAAGTCATCGATAAAATATCAGGGCTGATGTGATCCATAGGGTGCCTGCACATTTAGGATCAACGTCCTTACTGTGCAAATACTAGGGAAAGGCAAGAAAAACACACAGCAGGAGACAGGCACACCAACATATAACTCAGAAACATGCACATACACCGCTCAAGCTTTAGAAACAGACCTGGGTTCCAATTCTGCTGTGATACTTACTGCATGTATGACCTCTGGCTATATTACCCTTTCTTAGTTTGGTTTACTCAGCAGTAACATTCCAGGATTTGGGAGAGAAGGAAATAAATTTAAGCATTTTAGTCTCATCACTTTTATATCACCTGATCCATTTTCTAAATGTTTTGCCAGCCTCTGAGAACTGACAGATGGTGGGTGAGATTCCACCCTGAGGTCCCAAGTCAGCCTGCCTGGTGTCTGGTTGGCCAGGATAGAAGCTCCCTGGGAGCTCTCTGGAGGAGAGAGATAAGGGAAGCTCAGAGAAAGGAATTCCAACCCGAACAGAGCCAAGAGCACAGGCTCTGGGAGTCTGTGTGGCCTGGCTGCAAAGAGCAGCCACAGACTCCTGGGCAGGAAGAGCGGGGAGAAGGGGTGATCACGGAGACCCCAGGAGAAGAAAAGCTGTGGGGCTCACAATCAGAAGTCACACTGCGCTCAAGGAGCCTTCCGCGATACCACAGAAAACAGAGTCAAGCTCTCCAAAGACACGAGACAAAGTAATTATGATTCACACATTTGAAGAAATAAAAGAAACAGACAAGTATGAACAAGGGAAAGGTCTTTAAGACCATCCCATTGACTTGGACCAGAACCAAACCAGTACACGAGACAGATAAAATGCATCAATTAAAGTTAAGAAACAGAATCTACACGACTGGATGGAGCATCACCTTAGATACGGCTAACAGGAGACGCAACAGTCTGGAAGGCAGGCCAAAAGAAACCACGCAAGTCAGAGCACAGGGACCCGACAAGCTAGGAAAGGTGGCACCCAGGGTAAGCATGCAGACAAGACAGTGAAAAACTGGGCATAAATTAGGTGTCTTGGTTTAAATTCGTAATAGAAAAAGGATAAGAAAGAGACAATCAAGAGAGTGTCTAGCATTAAGGAACAAGACTAGTTATTGGATTCAGAAAACCTCAGCACTTGGGAAGCTCAGGCAAAAGGATCACCACGAGTCTGAGGTCAGCCTGGAGGGACAGTGTGATCAAGGACAGCCTTGATCTACATACAAGGCTGTCTCAAACAGAGCGAGAGAGACAGAAAGAAAGAAAGAAAGAAAGAAAGAAAGAAAGAAAGAAAGAAAGAAAGAAAGAAAGAAACAAAGAAAGAAACAAAGAAAGAAAGTTAGTTAAAATCTAAATCAAGATGCATGATAGTAAAATAAGAATATAAAAAATTTTAAATTACCCAGATAAAAATGACATATTACAAGCCAGCAGTGGTGGTGCACCCCTATAATCCCAGAACTCGAGAGGCTGAGGCAGGAGGATCATTGAGAGTTTCAGACCAGCCTGGGTTACAAAGTGAGCTCGAGCCCAGCCTGAACTGCATAATGAGACTGTGTCTCAAAAATTTTAAAAAAAAATGACATATTACCTCCAGCAAATTTCTTAACAGCAATAATGGAAGCCAATGACTAGAACTTTTATGTGCCTGTCTTAGTTACTTTTTACTTGTCGCTGAGACAAAATACCTGATGACCAGAGTTGGGAAAGGAAAGGTTTATTTCTTTCAGTTTTTGGAGGTTTCAGTCCATACGCAGTTGGCTCCAAGGCAGGCAGGCATGGCTGGACCATAGTTCATGATGGCTGCAAACAGCAAACAGGAACCAGCAAAGAGCAAGACACACCTTCTTCCTGCCATTACATCACATCCTGGCTCCACCCCTATGTGGGTGGAGCACTGACACCACCAATCCAAACTAGACAATGAACCAATCACAAATGTACAATGCAAACTCATGAGGCCTGGGGGCCACAGACATAAACCATGACAGTGCCACAAAAAACAATGTCACCAGGAAAACTACCTTCCAGCATTTACAGAGAAAATAAATATATTTTCAAATTAATAAAAACCAAGACAGCTATCATGCATAAAACTCCATGAAAGAGAAATCTAATGATGTACTACAGGTAAATAGGGAACGACCCCTGAGAGAAGGGTATAGATTCAAGAAAGAAAAGGAAAACAGTTATTAAAAGTACACAGGTAACTCTAAACAAACAAGGGGACTAAAACATAGTTAGAGAAAGGTGAGGAGAATTGGAACTTGCTAGGTCCTCTTTATACTGAGAGGGAGGAGGGTGAAGACTGGGGTCCAGTTTTAAACATGATGAGGACCACTCAGAGACGAGTGTAGAGACCGTAAGTTCCACACGAGTAGAAAAAAGTTAAATTAAAAAGTCAAATAATTCAAAAGAAAACAAGAAAACCAGAACAAGCAGCAAACACAAAATAGCAAAGAAGCAATCATTCCAAATGTATTAATAATGATGAAAAGGCCAAGACATCAAATCCTCCAGGGAAGGGACCAAAAAATACCAAACAAACAAGACTAGCTCTTTATTGTTTACAAGAGGAACATCTAAAATAAAGACACAGAAAGTATTTTTAAGAGGGATAAAGGCAATTTATAAGCACATGCTAACAAAAGAAAACTAATGAAATTCTGTTATATTATTAAATAAAGTCAATCTTGAAGCAAAATATCATCTAAAGATTCAAAAACTATGATGCAAAACAAACACTTTGAATCTGTAAAATGACATAAAAGTTCTAAATGTATATACAGCACCAAAATATATGGCAAAAGTCATAGAAATTGACACACCTATCAGTACAGCGACTTTTAATCCGTCTTTCTCATAACATACACCAAGGCAAACTTAACATTTAATGATATGGGAAATTTACACTAAACAATTGACAGATTCCATCCAAAAGGCATGACGGGACAATGAATTTAATAATGGATGGTGTTCATTCCTCTCATGCACAGGTAGAATATTTGCAAGAATTTCCCACATCAAGGGCCATGAAATTAACTCAATCAATGTCACGGGAAGCGAACCCCACAAAGCACATCTTCCCCCCGAGACAGCTAGAAGAATCATAGCCCAGAATCTCTCTGGAACCCTGGAGATTCCAAGGGACCTCAATGTACCTCAAGCGTCCACTGCAAATCACAAAAGAAAAAAGTGGAATACAGAGTTCTGTGTAGTATTAAATATAGAATTTGGGGCATATGACAAAATTCATATTTCAAAAGAAACGATGAAAATTAGTCCACTAGTTATCCAAGATAAGAAAAAAGATGCCAGAATAAGAAAACAATGGGATGACATTATAGGAACAGCAACAAAAAAAAAAAAAAATCACCAAATGGAAAACTTCAGAGGAAAGATGGGAAATGCCAAAAAATTTTTCAAAGGACACATTAAAAATAAACCTCTAGCAAAAAGTGCTGAGGAGGAGCAGGTGAAGCACCTAAGAATAAATGCATGTAATGTCGTCAGTGAGAGATGAGGAGACGGCTGGGCGTGGGGCGCAGTGGTGCACCCCTGCAGCCCAGGTCCTCAGGAGGCTGAGGCGGGAGGATCACTTGAGCCCAAGAGTTCCAGACCAACCTGCACGAGATAGCCAGACTCCACCTCAGACAATAAGTACAAGACAGAAACAAGCAACCTTTGCCAATAAAGTGAAACTTAGATGCAATAAGAAAATGAGCTTGAAAAACAACTTCCCCAGACAATTCAAGAATAAACAGAAGTTTATTCTTCCAAGAATAAATCTTGCAAGAAAACAGCAGGCTCACTGGGTTTTACTGGCAAGTTCTAGCACAAAGCCAGGCATAGCAATAAATAATTCTCACATAGACTCCTTCAGAGGGCAGAGTGCTGTCCTGCTCACATTAGGATTCGATAATAAAAATAGTTGAGAATAGAATATGGAAGGCCAAACTCTCCCGTGAACGGAGTTGCAAAGATCCTGGCTGAAAATTAGCAAATCGAATTTAGCAATGAACAGATCATGATCAAGTTGGCTTGTGCAGGCATGGATGATCAGAAAGCCAATCAGTTTACCAGATCATCCAAAACAACGAAACGTATCATCATGTCAGTGTGTGGAGGTTTAACATCCATCCCGCCCCCTCTCTTTGGATAAAAATGCACAGAAGGGGAATTTATTGCCGTGTGAACTGGGGGCAGACTTCGCTGCCTGCCTTGGCGGGACGCAGGAAACACACCGACCACAATGGCTGCTGTGTTCTGTCATTCTCCTCCCCACCGCCTCTTCCCAAATGGGCAGGGTGGAGACGGTCTTCATGTCCGCTTGCTCTAGTAGGATTCTGTTTTACACACAAATAGTAAAACACTTTCTGGGAAAGTCTGATTATCTCACTGGGGCAGTGGAGGCAGAAATCAAGGAGAGAGACAGAGTCCGTCCGGAGGTTGGGATGGGATCTGTGCTTTGTGTCCCACAGGCTGCAGGACCTCACCCAGCCCTGGAGGTGCCATGGGGAGGGGATGAGGCCTCAGAAGCCCAGGACGCCCAGGAGAGTGCTGCCTGTGGTCTGAGGCATTCTTTGGCCAACCGACAGCCCCCTGCAGCCCTGCACCGATTCACACCACGCCCCCAGCAGAAGGGAGCTCAGGGCTTAGTTAACTTAAACAGAGTGACAAGGCTTTTCCGCACACCTAGTCTGTGGCTTGGCCTTGCACTGCTGTCCCTGGGCAGGAGGGGTGGGTAAAACACAAAGACACCTGGGCACCCCCAGGCAGCAAAGCCTTACCTCTCCTCCAGGTCTGGCCACTGCTTGAAGCTGCCCTGGAGGCCACCAGCGGCTTCTCCCTCCTGGGCATCCGCAGCAGGGGGCTGCCGCAGGTCCCTTCGCAGGTGGAGGATGCCACTGGCCATTCTGTCCAGGAAGCCGAGGACCTGCAGGCAGCTCTGTGCCCTGGGTGGGAGCGGGCAGTCAGGGGAGAAGGCAGCGCTCAGCAGTTCTGCAAATGGCCTGGCCTTTGTGTTGGGCCAGGAGTGCTGCAGAGTGTCCTCTTCCTCCGCAGCCCCAAAACAGCCCAGTGAGCAGAGGTCCTCGGCCAGCTTCTCAAAGAGCCCGTGCCTCCGGAAGAAGTCACTGTTGACAGGGTCCAGGTACAGCGCGGCGGACAGGGCGCAGAGGGTGTGCAGCAGCAGCTCCAGGGTCTGGCCACGGGGCACGGCACCCCAGGCCTGCAGCGGGGGCGTGTTCAGGGAGCCCTCCAGGTCAGACAGCAGCGACAGCAGCCCGGTGAAGCCGCTGCAGACTCGGAAAGCAGCTCGGCCCTTGGGGGTCTCGAGGATCCGGAGCAGAGACTGAAACAGCAAGCCGATGAAACACGTGAACCGCAGGAGTCAAACACACCCAGCCCACGCAGGACCCCTGCAGAGGCGCCTAGGAGCTCCACCATGCTGGACACCTCGGAAGCTGCAGCAGCTGGAGGAAGGCGGATTCTCCAGCCACAGGGTACAGTCGTGCCCCCCGAAATTTGCTTCGGGTTGCCTATACATGCCTTGTGGTGAAGGACTGTCCCTGAAGCCTGAACTCACTGATGGGGTTGACCTGACCACCCAGCACCCTAATTTAAATGCACCTCCCTCCAAAAACCTTCCTCTGATCCTAGCTCACAATTGGCACCTCGCCCAGCACCCTCTCATCCCCTGACCATCACATGGCCACAGCTGCTGGACAGCGACCTCAGCGTTCTGCCATAGGCCGGAAACCACATCTGGTCCCCTCACTGCAGTGGGACAGGGCCCCACCTGACCAGCCCTGATGTGAGCAGGAGAAGCTTCCTCTTCCCTGCACTGCAGCCCCACAGTGAGATCCACCCTCTCCGCGCGGGGCGGGGCACCCATTCCCCGAGGGCAGATGTTACAGGGAATCTGCTTAACAGCTGATCAGAAGAGATGAGGCAGGCACCCAACGCATCCTCATTCTGTGCTAAAGTCACAGCGCTAAGCTAAAGTGTGTCTGGGTAAATGCAGACAAATATGGAAAGTCTGTAGTTTGGGTATTTATTTTTTTGATTGATCACATACGTTAAGGGAACCCCATCTAAATCCAGGCATCCGGGGCATATGTGGGCAGTACTGGACCTGTGTGAGTAGCCTCTGCAGAGAGGTTTGATCTGTTCTACCTTTTTGGATATTTAAGACCTTACTAAGAGAAAAAAGAGGACACAATTTAGCTGTCAATTGCAGGGTGCTTGAGAAAAATAAGAGAGATACTGTCAGTTTGGGCCAGGACTGATCCTGTGACTGAAACACATAATTTGGAAAGATAATCTATGGTAAGATGCACAAAAGTTAGCAGACAAAGAGAAAAATTGGTGGCTTAAGGGGCAGACTCAATTTTAAAACTTAGGAAACCACATGGAAACTCAGTAAAGCTATATAGGTAACTATTTAACATGAAGCCATGCAATTTGGAAGACAAAGGCAACTTTCCAGCTCCCTCTCTGAAATGCTGGCACCGTCACCTAATCTGAGCGTCTGTCCTCCACAATAGAATGCATGTCCCAATGCACCAACTGTGTTCCCCAGCATGATGCTCCGTGACAAGAAACCCAAGGGTCCTGGCGAGTCAGCAGTCCTGTGTTTGGACTCTGAGAACCCAAGAGGACCTGAGTCCACTGACCAACAGATAGGAATAAGGATCTTTTCAGAGACAAAGAGAAAGGTGGCCAGGAACTGGTGAGAGGGTGCCGTCCACCCCACCTGAGACACTAAGAGAAATTAAAAACAGAATCAGGGCCATGGCAACCAGAAGAATCTATGAAAGGCCAAAGTCCACTGTCACAAGCAAAACGGAGAGGCAACATGAGGTGAGGGAGGACCCATCCTTACCAACATGGATCCATCGACCCATTTACAGTTAGAGAAATGTCGGACTGTGGTGGTGGGATCCGTGCTACCCCGCCACAGCCCGGTGTGGGAAATAGATTGGCATTTTGCTCTTTGAAAAGGCAGCGTCAGAGCCAGCACTGCAGAGGGTCAAGTCAGAGTCACAGGGCAGCCTTCGGGGAGACCGACCTTCCAGACTGCCGGAAGCTCAGAGGAAAGATGAACTATTAAGGCCTTGGCAGTGACCCTGCTCTCTCCTGGGAGGTGAGGAGGTGGACTCGGCTGAAACCCAGGAGAGACTGTGTCTTAGCTGTGTCCCCAGGGCTGGGCACGAGTGCACCAGAGCAAGATTGCAAAAGGCCTGCCCGGTGGTCGCGCGTAGACAGAATGGACATTTGTCCCCTCCCTTATCCTGGTATCTCTGGGCCAGGGCTGCATCTACAGCTTCCCTGCAAGAGCGACTCACCCCACAGAAAGTTCTCTCCAGCTGAAAAGGCCTCACTCTAACTTTCTGATGACCGTCTACACGGCTGGCTGCACACTGGCAAGCAGCAGGCTGGGTCTCACTGTCTGAGCCAACCGTGCACCCGTGTTGCCGTGAAAACTCAGTCAATCACGGAGACGCTGAGAAATCTCAGGCACTGTGATGTTAAACAAGAGGCATATACACAAAAGCTTTCCGGGGCTCGTGACACCATGACACAGGACAAAACGAATTCCAGAATGGGAGCATAACTGAAACATAGAGCTGGTCCGATCAAGGCCAACTGTTTGGGTGCCAGCTGACCCAGAACCCCCTTGATCTCCACCTTTTGGGGGCCTAAATCAGAGCCAGATTCTGCTTAGAAGAGCTCCATGCCTCAGAGTGTTGACAGCAGCCCAGGAAGAGCCCTCCTGGTGGTCTGTGTCCCTCGGAGGGATGGTGGCTTTCTTCTCACCCAGGGGAGAAGGGAGGAGGGGGAGACAGAGGGATGGCTGTCCTTAATTGTTGCTTTGTTTGATTTATTAAATCCAGAGTCATCATCTAAAATGGGGCTAATCTCATTAGAACGTAGACCGCTCTATTATTTCTTGGGATGGGGTTAATTTCATATTTGCAGAGTCATAAAATAGAGAGTCCAAAATCCAATTACAGAGGCTTAATTTCATAGCAACTAAAGAGAAACATTTCTATCATAAAGGAAAATAAATCCTCTGCTACTTCGGGAAGCGATTTGTCAGGGACTGGGGGCCTAGGAAGAGGGTCTCCATTAACGCCGCCCGACTTTGCATGCCCATGCATCACAGAGCGCTTCAAGGCTGCGGAAGAGAGCAAATTTAATCAGCTGAAGTCAAAGTAATCAGGCTTGGGTTGACACATTTCAAGAAAGGTCAGTGTTAAGCACATTTTCTGATCCCTAACGCAGTTACTGTGTCATCGTCTCCGAGTTAGTATCCTCCAGCTTGGATCTCCAGGATGGATGTGAGCTGCGAGGCGCTAACTATATTAGGACTAACAGGATTTATTTCACATTCTAATATTTGTTATTCCTCATAATTTTCCATGTGTCATGCTGGAAGACCGGTGAGGTAACACAATTAAGCTCAGAGTTGAACAGCTAAATGTATATTAGCAAATCAATCTGAATTTGTGCATAACCCAATCACGGTCCCACTGGCCGAGGGGAGGAAATTCATTTGCTTACATTAGGCTTTAACTCGGTTACGGTTTGCCAGAATTGGTGGTGCGGTTACATGCACGTCAGTGTTGGTATGGAAGAAGCCCCGGCCTGCCTTGAGTTGGTGGATTCTGCCACAGGGAAGAGACACAGGAGTGGCTCCACGGTACGGCCTCACTTCAGAGGTGGCCACCCTTTCTCGCGAGGGGATGCTGCCTGACCCCATCCCTTGCTGCCCCAATCCTGCAGTGCTTCTCCTGTGCCATTATCTAACCCATTATGTAGACACGGAGCCTCTAACTTCCAAAAAGGGAGATGTGGCCAGCACGAGCTCATTTTACATCAGTTTCCAGAGTTGCCAGGGGCTCCCAGAATGATTTAAGGACACTCGCAGATCTCACGTCCAATCCCAGTGAGCGTTCACTAGTGACTCCCGTGACTCAGTGGTGGGCGAATCGGGACGAGGCTCTGGGGGCAGCGCTGTGTTCGCAGCCTCAGTCCCTGCAGTGCGGTGGCAGCTCCCGGGGACTTGAGACTGCCTGGCAGGACCCAGCGCACTGAGCTCAGCCTCACACTTTGTTAAATGAGCTCGCCCAGCGCGCATTCCTTAGGTGCTCTCCTGATAACACGGTTCTAAAATGATATTGAGTCTGTAAAACACCATAATGGCTTTATATTGCTAATTCCAGAAATCCAGTCTATTACCCAAGGGCCAGCACTCCAATAAGATGCCTCTGGGCTGCAGAGTAAATAACAGGACGGCTCTACGCGCAGGGCAAAGCCCTCCTAGGCTGGGCGCGAAGACGTTTCACGCTCCGAAGTGAAGCAAAACTTTCTGTTCTGCGGATCTGCTTGACCTTTGATACAAAAGTGCCAGAAACAATTGTGAATCCTGCTGACAGCCAGGGCCCTGAGTGCTTTGGAGGCACCTGCTCTGTCCCCATGGAAACATGTAGATCAAACGGCAAACCCGGACACAGGAGACGCAGAGGCGAGCACAGCGCACTGAGGTGGGAGATCGCTGGGTCTTTGGGTGCCCGCCTTAGGCGCAGAGTGACTTCACCAATCAGCAGTGGTGCGGTGTCACTTTGGCTGAGCACGCGCTCCAGAGGCCTCTGCCCACAGCGCTGGGAAGCTCAGCCACGTGAATCTCAAGTTCCCCACACCGCACTTTGGATTCTTCCCCTTCTCTTCTTCTGAGTGTGCACACGTGTGTGCATGCGTGTGTGTGTGCGTGTGTACCTGTGCCTGCGTGTGTTGCTGGGAATGCAACCCAGGGCCTCATGCAAGCCAGGCATGCGCTCTTCCACAGAGCGGTCCCGCCCCACTGATCGCTCTCTGTTTTCAGGAGTCCGTGTTCACAGTGATTCCATCCATCTTGGGGAGTCAGTCCATGCACATGGCACCCCCTAATTCTTCTTAGGTCTCTGTCCTCTCTGTCATTCCCTTCTCCTGCCAGCTCTTGGTTTTCTTCCCATTTACAAAATATCAAAATATCTGCCTCCCTCTTTCCTAGTATCTATCTGCCATTTTGTTCTCTAAATTATTTATACCTCAGGTTTCTCATATAAGGGAAGCTAGGCGTGTCTGATTTATTTCACTCCACTTTACGGCCTCAAGGTGCACTCTTTTCCCTACAGAGGACTCGTGCTTATCCTTCTCATGGCCGAATACTACTCCCTTGTGTGAATAAAAATCCTATTTATTTATCCATGCATCTATCAATGAACATGGATGACAATGGCCACTTCCAAGCTATTGAGTTGTGCTGCTATAAACATGAGTGAGCGTGGGTCCCTGTGCTGTGAAGTCTGTGACTTATTAACTTCTGGTGTCTCCTTCTCTTGTTATGTAGCCTTCTCTGCAATCTCCTTGTCTTGCATAATGATGAGACCCGAGTAGCCTTTAAAACACTGAACTTCCCTTTGTGCTTCCTAGAAATCACTGTCACTGATTTTTGGAGGGGGGAGGAATGGGACCCTGAAATTAAATCACCATTTGGATCCTTGTCTCCAGGTCACGATTTCTCCTGAGCTTTCCTGGAGCAGGAAGGCAGCCCCGTCCCTCCTGCTCCTCTCCTCCCGTGACGGCCTGCACCCCACGTCTAACCAGGACATTTGCCACCACCGATTCTCAGTCCATTTCCATGGCTGGCAGTGCTCCCGGGCAGCACCGGCCAGAAAGTCCATGTCCTGTCCCCTTGCACCCAAGGGGGTCCTCCCTAGAGGTACACCCGAAGAAAACAGGACAGAAACTAACGCACACCCACTGCATGCCAGCTCCATGCCTGCTGGCTGCGTCGGATGCCCAGGTGACTGCTGCCCCTGGATGGCAGCCACCGAGGGATTCTGCATTAGAAAGAAATACCTGCCACTAACTCTGCCTAATGCAATGGTCTGTCTAGCAAACGTGGGTCCCCTGAAAGGATCAGGGCCTGGACTCACGGGCGCCCCTGGGAGAGACAGCCGCAGAGTGGGCCGCGCGAGCTCAGTCACCTACCTGCAAGAGGTCCAGTTTGAGCCGCAGCTCGCCCTGCGTGGAGGAGCACAGCGCGCCCACGATGATGCTGGCATACTCCTCCGCGTTGATGACCGACAGCTGCTCCAGGATGCTGAGCGCGGCCTCGCGGTAGCACTCGTCGTCCAGGAAGATCTTGATGAAGGGCACCATGCCATGGTCCTTCAGGACCACTGCGGACAGAGGCAGGGAAGGGGCCGCAGTGAGGGGCCTTCGGGGATCCAACTCATGACCGACCTCCCGCTTACCTGGCAAGGGCTGGAGCCGCTCAGCTAAATCCCCAGCTCCCTTTTTTCCCCAAATAACACTTGTTTTGGATGACTTAGAAAGAAGCTAACAATTAAATAGAAATATTTTTTCTTTGCCAGTGAGAATTCTATGTTTTTAGGAATCTTTTGATCCATATCTCCTCATAGGAGGTAAGTTTGGCAGATATACTGTACAGGTTGACATCTAACATTAACAAACTCTTGTAATCTTATGGAAAAGTCCTTTTCTTTTTAAAAACCTAAGTAAAACATGCTTTAAGTCTCCCTTTATTGTGTGTAATTCCTCAATCCAGCAGAGCCAAAACACACAACCAAAACTTACAGGAAGCAAACCAGAATTTAAGAACATATTTAATGCCTAGGTAATTTCTCTGGGAGAAAATTAAATGAATCCAGCCTGTGGTATGCTTCTGCTTAAAAGTAACCCTAAACACGGCCTCCCAGGACTGACGTATGAAGTCATCCTCATGGAGAAAAATTCAGGGATGAATGTCACCAAGTAAGTTCAAGTGGATTCAAGCAACTCCAAACCCCTGAGGTGGGATTTTCCCATTTATGGGCCAAGATCCCCCATGTAGAAGTCACCTGTTCTGGAGAAGACTCTGAACTCTCCCTTGATGTATACTAACGTGATGTCTGGGAACATGAATTTAGCCAGTACCTCCTGGGAATGTTTTGGGATTTAATGTCAAGGGGCTTTTCCTCTGCTATCAAGAAATAAAAGTGTTACATTCAATAGAGATGATCTATGAAGACCTCAGATAAAGATGAGAAATCACCAAGCCTATGGACCCAACTTCCCCTGGAGCACAGGCTTCACGTGACACATGTGTACATTTAAAAACATATTTTTGAAAAGCTCAGGAAGCTAACAAACTGCAGGATGGCTGAAGTTGCTAAATTCATTCTGGACAAGAAACATAAAATTACATTTCTTAAAAATGAACGCATTTTCTTTGGGCTTTACTCTTTAGGATTTAAAAAACAAAGCAACTCTCACTAATGATCTACAATCACTAGACCAGAATTGTAATGGATTTTAACTGAAAGGGGAAGAGAGATCCGTGGTCTGGTTAATTTAGAAATCTTCAGATCAAGCACAGGCTTGTTTAATCAACCTTAGTTTACAACCTCAGGAGTATAAAACTTTAACCAAGGAGTCAACCAACTTACATCAGTAGTGATCATCAGATCACTAAAAGTCAGTCAACCAAGGATGTAAGCCACAGCCATAAAACTGGCTAGTATTTGAATAAATCCTTTGCATGTCGATAACCAGCACATAGAGAACCAGAAAACAGTCGTGTTTTACTACAGGCTGGCAAGGCAGGGCAAGCACAGTCCTTACCCGCGTTCCGAACCGAGCCTTTCAGAAGTGCGACCACAGTTCTCAGTGTCACCGCGGTGAGTTCACGTTCTGAATCGTGGACACCAGGACTGGGCTCTTTGCTTCCTGCCATATTAAACAATCAACCAAAAAAATTTTTAAGAATTCATGACATGAGCTACATTGGGTTTTGTCCTCCAAGGTGATGTAAATACAATACTTCCACTACAAGGGAGAGGGCACCCCAGTTCCTACTCCCCCAATGGTTCTCCAATTTGAGCACCCTGAGGGCACATGGGTGAAATCCAGAGCCCCATAGCAGGCCCGTCCCCAGAGATTCTGAGTTAGTAGGTGTTGGGTGCGACCCTATAATCTGTATTTCTAAGATACCAGGTGAGGCTGGCGGAACTGGTCCTGTGACCACACTTCAGAAGCATCACCCCAGAAGACACAGGGAGCCCCAACTTGAGCTTCTCTTGGCCACTTTTGGTTCCCATTCATGCGTGGAGGGTACGAGCCAGGAGCTGTGGAAATTCTGGAATAAATCCACAGCCCCACCGGATCCACAGGACCAACCAGATGCCTGTGTTCACCAGCAATACCACTTCCAGAACAATCCCTGAGCAAACTGGAAGCTTCATACACATTTAGGGGATGCAGAAAGAAAGAGCTGAACACAGAATGACCGAGTATCTAAGGCAAAATAAGACACATTTCAAAGCACACAGGACAGCCCACGTAAAGTCCAAGCTCTCCTAGGGACGGCGACAGGCCTGGAGCAGGACGGAGATGTAAACTCCATGTCAGGCTGCTAAGAGGCAGTGCCAAGCTAACACAGAAACACTCAAAGACATCTCAATACGCAGGAAAGCAAAGAAAGCCAAATGTCAACTTCACTCACGTGGGATTTCAGGCACCCGGTTTGCTCTGGTTGAAATGCACCCTTCAAACACTCCCCAGCTAAAAACTTAATCCCTGAATCAATGATATTTGGAGGAGGGGCTTATGGGAGATAGTTAGCTTTAGGAGAAGTCACGTGTGTGTGGGTTTACATAATGGGACATGGGCTTATTCCAAGGACACTGACATGCTTGCTGTCTGTCCAGGTGACGCTCTCTGCTGTGCTAAGACCCTCCCCACCCTCCCGCACTAGATACTGAAGCCCTTTTCCTCCTTATAAATTACCCAGCCTGTGGTGTTTCACTATAGCAACACAGGTCAAAAAGAACCACATAACAACGTACTGCCCAGCACCTGGCCCTGAGGCCCAGACACAAACAGTATCATGGAAGGACATGGGTCCTTCCAGGCCTCCAAAAGCCACCTGAACTTCTCTTGGAACATCAACCACGGGCTTCCGGACAGGAGCACAGATTCTGTAGGATTCTGTGACTGCCGTGCACCAAGCATGGCATGAGGTCCTGTCCCTCACTGCAATGTGATCATCCACCTTGTACAGAGAAACAAGCAGCCTCGTAGAGGAAAAGTCATTTCACTGAGAGTCCTCGGCCTGTTCGTGGATTCCAGCCCAGGCTGCCTGGCCCCGGCATCCTCAGAAACTTCCTTGCTGAGATGCTCAGAGAAACAGACAAGCTGATGGCTTCAGCATAGGTCAGAATCCTCAGAAGCTGCACGCCACAGAGCCCCAGGTCCTCCGGGTCAGCGCAGTGTGGGAAGAGGAGGAGGAGGAGGAAGCAGGAGGGGTAAGAGGAGGGTGCTGAGTCCCACCCACCCTGCTCCGTGCTGATCTCCCAGTGCTGTGGCGTAGGGGACGGAGGGAAGGCTGGGAGGGATGGAGAAGGGCTTTGATACCAGGCTTCCTACATGAAAATCACTGCAGGTGGGGCTGCGGGCCACAGAGTGTCCCCACACTCTCCCTGTAAAGGAGCCCGGCCCCTCACCACTGGGCCCCTCCATAAAGACAGAGGGACCTCAGACCCCCGCGGGACAGCAGGAGCTGCTGAGGCTCAGATCCCACAGTGCAGTGGCCCAGACAGGGCCAGGGGCACACGAAGTGGGACCAAGACTCAGAGGGGTGTGCTGAGACATCAGGCCCCTGGTGACCCTCTCCTGCAGGAGACCATCAACCTACAGTGTAAGGCCTAGCCCAGCTGCAGAGGAGCATTCAGAACCCCAAGCCTCCCAGAATCCTGTCTGCTTCCCATTAGCAAGGACTGGAAGGCCGCCCACCACCTGCCATCTGCACCCTGACAGTGTCCAGGCCAGAGGTGGGACACCCCAGGGCCCATGTGAAGTTCCAGCCAGTGCTCCAACCTCCTCATGGGGAAGGTGGGTGGCTCCTCATCCTTAGGACCCCACGTGCCCCAGGAGTCCCTTCCCTGACCCTCACGACACCCATGGCATGAACTCACTCACCTTCTGTTCCACTGAGGGGTGGCCAGCTTGGCACACAGACCAGGCCTGGCTCTCCGTGCCCCAGCCCACTTGCCCACCCGTCCTGAGACCCCAGAGCAGCACCTGACTTCCGCATGATCTTGGCCTGCTTCCGCAGCTGGGCCAGCAGCAGGCCCAGCAGCCCCGAGTCCCGGAAGATGTCGGTGAAGAGGGGTTCACTGGCGGTGATCTTGAGGATGCTCTGCAGGGCCATGAGGGTGCAGGACGACTGGGGGTTCTCCTTGATCAGATGCTGCACTTTGCGCAGGATCTCGTGGGGCACGTAGCGCAGCCTGAACACCAGGGCCTCCAGCAGCTGGAAGAAATGCACCTGCACCAGCGGCGGCTTTGCGGGCATGAGCTCCACGAACTGCGAGATAGGCTGCAGGGTCCACTCCAGCAGGAAGAAGTTGCGCGGGTTCCAGGCCCACATGGTCTTGATGGCCAGGAGGACCTGCGTGCAGAGGACGCAGTCGCTGGCCTTGTGGAAGACGTTCTGCAGGACCTGGAAGGCCTGGAGGTTCTTAACGGTCACCCCTGAGGAGGAAAACAAGGGTCACGCTGCGAGTTATTTCTCCTGCCTGCCAGGTGGGACCAAAATATACAGTGAAGGTTTGCATTCTGAAAATGTAACCCAGTAAGACGTGTTTCCTGTGAGTCCCTCCCAGAATGCTCCCCCTCGTTACAACCCACTTTGCCCATCATCTTGCGGCTTTCGGAAGCAGTTCTGAAGCCCTCTTTCCTGAGTGTCCATAACGTGTGCTTCACAGTATGGTGAACGCAGCAGCTGAGCACCATCCAGCAGGAAGGCAGCCTCATGGAAACACGGCAGGGTCTCTTCCTCCGCCTGATTCATGGGAATCAAGCCTGGGCCACTCCTGCCCTTCCTCTAAGTCAAGATGACCAGGAAAGGGAAACGTTTTCAATGGACTGAGGACATCGGGGGAGTCATAACAGTGTGCCTAAAACCATGCGATAAAAGGACTTCCCAAACTGTTTCGGAAAGCAGAATGGATGAAGGGTTAAGTTCTTGCAAAGTAAGGAGCAGTGTTTTTGGAGGAGATTCACAGCAGTGTGTCTTTTACTGTCATAAAGCCTTAAACTGTAAAGCCAGGTGTGTTGGTGCACGCCTGTATTCCAGCAATCAGGACGCTGAGGCAGGAGGATCGCTGTAAGCTCAAGGCCGGCCTGGGTTGCATAGCCTGAACTACATATCAAGACTCTGCCTCAAAAAATAAGTAAATTAATAAACTTTAAAATTTAAACATGCACCATATTTTTCGATCATACAATATATGTCTAGAATGTGTGGGAGCATTATTGCTAGGACACGCCATTTGAAATTTCTATTTTCTAACTCCTGTGAGTTCATTTCCATCGCAGTCCAAAAAGCAGCCACTTGGCATACGAGAAAGGCCCGAGCCGTATTGCCAAGATGGGGCTCCAACGGCTGCCACCCCGATTGAAACGCAGCGCTCTCCGCCAACTTCCAAGAGGGAACACAAAGCAAATTATGCCACTAACAGTCGCTCACAGAGCCCTCTGTCATAGTTTATGTCTAGGTGTGGGCTTTAGGGAGGCGGCTGGACCATGGAGGCTTTTAGCTGACTTGCTGTTGGTGGCAGGGCCCGGCCGGAAGAGGCGGGTCACTGGGGGCATGGCATGGAGGGGTTTGTCTTCCGTACTTTTCCCTTGATGCCCTGAGCAGCCCCGCTCTACTATGCTCCGAGGCCAACCTGCCCTGCCTTGAAGCCAGCTGACCATGCACTGAACTCCCCAGACCGTGAGCCCAAATGAACCTCTGCTCCTGTGGAAGACACAGGTGTCAGGTACTGGGCTTGGTGACCAGGAAAGTGACCATCACAGTCCTCTGTGCCTCGGAGATCAGAGAAGTGTCTGAAACTGGGTCCACACCCTGCATCTCCTACAGCCCCCCAAGGGCCTTCCTAACCCGGCCCCCACATGTGTCCAGGCTCCCTGCCTCCTCCGCGGCTTGGCAGCCTCCTGCCTCTCCTGTGCCTGGGACTCACCCAGCTGCTCCAGGCCACTGTGCCGCCCCCCAGGCCAGACTCCCTACCCTCATTCCAACCTGTGCACCGCACACTGAGCCCCAATGCTCCCCCCGGCATTTTCTGACTGACCTATCAAGGTCACAGCTGTGCCTGGGGTGTGCATCAGCCACTTGTCCTGCAGACCCCAGAGGGGACATGGGATGACCTCTATAGAGGAGTCCATGGAGCAGACACCCAGCCTGTTCACACTGGCACCCAGCACGAGGCAGGGTGTATGCTGCACAGAAAGTGTGGCGTGCTGATTGAGTTCATCAGTTAGCCCATCAACATTCAAAGTCCTGAGGACTCACTGATGTGAGTCTGTGTGGTAAGTCAGAGTCACTGGTCCCCATTTTATACGCAGATGATTCAGAGTAAGTCACAGGTGAGCTGGAGCTGGCACATGGCCTCCTCCATAATCTGAGAGACTCTCTGCCTTTATAAATAGTATTTCCTGAGTCCTCACAAAACAAGCTTTCTCACTGGACATGGCTGCAACTACAAACTAAAAAAATTATGTAAAGGGAGACTTAAGATCTACAGTGGTCTCCCCAAGGCCTAGGGCCAAATCAGACCCCAGTGTCGCACACAGGTGCATGGAGAAATGGGCCAGAGTGCACAGTCTCATTAAGGCGCAGCCCAAACCTGCCGGAGACCCAGAGAAGCACCCACCAGAAGACTCCTGGTGGAACCTGAAGCCCTCGAGCTGCGGGTAAGTGATGCTGTCGAACACCTTCAGCTCCGACCGCCCGCACGTCGTCAGCCACACCACCAGCCCCAGGAGCTCCTCCAGGTGGGGGTCCACTTCACCCTGGGTCAGCCCGTCATACCTGTGGGGGCAACAGAGCAGACACGTTGGCACGCAGTGCTGCCCACCAGATGCAGGCGCGATGGGGGTGTGCGTGCTGGTCCGCAGCACAGGAAGTGCGGCCCCAGACAGAGGTCACTCTGTTTGCAAACTTGGCCTCCCATCTGGCCACTGGCACAGGGTTCCCTCATTTTGGCTTTTGGCACTAAAGGTCCAGTTACACTTGGGTCAACCACGGCTTAAAAATAGGAAACAAAAATTTAAGTACATTCTGCTATAGCATATTGTAATAAGATTATTTTATTGCCACATATTTTTCATTTCTTAGAGTGCCTCATTTACAAATTAAGTTTCATCATGTGTATGTGTACTAGAGGAAAACATAGCATTTGTAGACTTCCTGTCAGTAGGCATCTGGGGCATGGCCATTAATGGGGGGCTACTGCTCACGGGAACTGTCAAGAGCCTGCATCTCAGGTCAGAGGAAACTGCTTTCCCTAGCTGGTTCCCCAAAAGGCACCCACAGGGCAGGGGCACCTCTGAAGTCAGAGATCTGATATTCCCAGACAGCAATGAAGCAGACAGCATGGAGAGAACTGGAACAAAGAGTCACTCTGCATATACCATGGCAAACCTCCATGGCACAGACCTCCATGGTCCAGACCAACGGGAATATTGTGCCCAGAGGGGCAGTAATTCTTTGCTTCCTTTGCAGGACACCTGCAGGTACGGCCATTTGGTCACACCTGGAGGACATCCGCCACCCCCACCCAAGTCCCGCCCTCTAGATGCCAAGCCTAACGCCACTTTCAAGTCTGGGGACCATGGTTTTAACTCGCTACCCAGAAACCAAGCAAAGCCCAAAGGCACATGAGCAGCCTCGCCCTGCAGCAACTCCCCAAACCCTGCTGCAGGGTCTGGAGAGTATTTGAGTCCACCGTTTTCTCTTTGTAAGCCCTGGGGCCCGACCTGTACATGATACGGCGCATCAGAGAGGAGGGACTAGTCCAGCCCTGGTAGACGGTGTCTGTGTGTGTTTCACAGAACAAAGTCTAGAAGACGGAGGAGGATGATCATGGAGCTGGTCATAGAGAAAAGAGTGGAGAATCATCACCTCAGCACCTCACTGAAGTTAGTCCTTCTGGGGAAACTGAGGCAGTATAGAACTCCCCCACACACACACGCACACATACACAGCCAGTGCCAGGTATCCACCCATCAGCTGGCACCAGCCGTCGGCCCAGAGCTGCCCCTGAGGGTGCTCAGTGCCAACACTTGCAGCTCTGGCTCACAGGCTGGGAGCTCTTAGCTGCCCCGAACCCCCAGCAGGCACTGAGCTCTGACAGGTGGAAGCTTGCAGATGTCATGAGCCACCACGCAGACTTGGTGAGGTCATCATCGGGAGGGAGCAGTCCGCGGCCATCTGCATGGTTACCTCTGCAGCCAGGGGCTCCCCTGGCCACACTCAAGGTGCTTTGCATTTCTGAAGCGGAGCTGACACACGCACCTCAGGCACCCCCGTGTTCCCCAGGGCCTTGCTCCAGACAGAGCCACTTACCGCAGCAGCACCCTGAGCAGCAGAGGGTAGCCCTCCCCATTCTCAAACTCCACGAGCAGGGCGGAGGAGATGGGGTAGGAGTCCTTCACGAAGCCCAGCACCAGGCTCACGGCCTCGCTCACCTCGGGCACCGGGAGAGCGTCCGTCAGCCTGGAGAGGTTCTGGACGGACAGCCGCACACAGTCTGTGGCTGCAAGGGAAGCACAGGCCGCTGAGCCCAGGCAGCCCCACCACCGCTCTGTCCTCCCTCCCGCGGCCCATCAAGTAGGGGTCCCTGCGTCTGCTGCTGGCTCCTGTCACACAAGGCTTGCCTGGGACGTGCCGTCCGGGAGCCAGGATGGCCACACTCTGCAGACCGGCAGGTGACACAGAGTGGGGACATACTCCAGGTCCTCTCCCCAAGCAAGAGGGAGAGGCCAGCTCCCAAGTCACACAATGGGGACACAAGCCATAGTATGGGGGAGGGCCTGGAGAAGCAGGGCTGGAGCCCAGTACAGGGCAGGAAGGACACATGTGAGGAGGAGGAGGAGGAGGGTGGAGGAAGAGGGAAGGAGAGAGGCAAGATGGGAGAGGGTTCCAGGGGTCGGGGCAGGTGACTGTGGGCGGGTTAGAAGCCCACGTGGGGCTGATGGTGCCTGAGTAGAAAGCCCAGGCAGACCCAGGTCAGATGACGGGAGCTGGTGGATTCCCTTTTGCCTAGATCCCTTGCTTTCGGGGACTTTCCACCAAGTAGGACCTCTTCGGAGAGCTGTGCAGGCCACCCTAGGGGACGCCTGGACTTCTCCTCACCCCATAAGTCCACCCCATGCCACCCTCTCCAGGTGAAAGTTCTAGATGCAGACAGAGCTTTGCACAGTGCGTGCACAGCACACGGTTCCCCTCTTCTCCTCCTGCATCAGCATGCGCCACAAGAGTCTTGCAAAGGAGCTGCCCTCCTGGACACAGTTCTCTTCCTGGGACCCCAGGAATCTCTACTGAGCTTCCAGAACATGGGCCCCAGCCTCAGTCCAAGAGTTCCCGGGAAGCCCTGTGTGGCCACGGCCAGCCCCTGGCCTCTGGGACCTACCCTGCAGGTACTGGACGATGCTGGGACTCTGTGCCCTGGAGATGGCCCTCAGCACACAGAAGGTGGGCTCCCTCCAGAAGCGAGAGCTGTTCTCCCAGAGACAGGTGGTGGCGATGAGCAGAGCCTGGAGCTCGTTCCCTGAGGGCAGCCCCTCCAGACTCTGGGGGTCGCTGCACAGGTTCAGCAACATCTGAGGAAGAGGAGGAGGAGGAAGAAGCAGGGAGCTCTGATTAGGAAGCCCCGCTCTTCACATGGATGTTTCTGTTTCTCCGGAGCACTGGTGGACAGGTCTCAGCCCCTCCTGACCACCCACAGAGCCAGCTCGGAGGGAAGAGCAGGGGTGTGGCTCACATCCGATCCCATGATCCCTGCGGGCCACGGCTATGCTCTGCACCAGGACACAGCTGTCCTCTGTGTGCGCCCACATCCCAAGACAACGCCACGTGCCTGAAGCCCTGTATCACCCCAACTCTGTGGGGCAGCCAGCCTCCATACCCATGGCCCAACCAACAAGGATGGAAAATATTGCAACTGTCCTGAAAATACACAGACTTTTTCTTGTCATTATTCCCCAAAGAATCAGCACAGTGACCCCAGATACTGACGTAGTACTTCACTGCACTAGGATTACATGTCACCAAGAGATGATCTGAAGCATGGAGCAGGTGAGCGCAGGCTTATGCACATTTTATGTAAGGGACTTCAGCAGCCACAGATCTGGGGTTCTACAGGAAATCCTAGAGGCGACCTCCTGGGGACACTGAGGCCCCACTGTGCCTCACTGTCTCCTGTCACGTGCGTCTATGAGAAACTTCACTTCAGAACTGAGGCCTGGGAGGGCTTAACAACACAACGTAATGAGCCAGGACAACTACAGCAATGTTCCATAGGAAAAGTCATTTAAAACTTAGGAGTTGCTCACTTTGGTTTCATGTCACATCTGGTGACTGAGAAAACGGAAACCAAGCCCAGCAAAAATGCAGACGGGGGAAGGGATGCTGTGACAAACAAGAGACTGACATCCACGTCGTTATGTGGCAATTCAGGAACACGCCATCGACGGCTCAGGTACAGACTCAGCAGGACCTGGTGCTATTTAGGCGGCTCCCAAATTCAGCAACCTGGTCTCCTCCAAGGATAGCAGAGGGTCTTCCAGTACCCTCCAGCCCCTGGGGATAATTCCCAAAGGCCCCAACAGGGACCTGTACAGAGTCCTTCCTGGACCAGCCCTGCATCCTCTCCCGCTTCATGCGAGCAGCTCTCACTGGTCCAGTAGGATCTTTGTCCAGCTTGGCAGCTGTCACGAACTCCTTCCACAGAATGAGTGCATTGCCAGCCTCTAGCGTGGTGACACAGCAGAAGCTGGGGGGCCACGCAGCTGGGCACTGAGCCCATTTCCAGCCTCCCTTGAGGGTCCATGTGGCCACGTGACCTGACCTCACCGTGAGCTTGGACAACCATTTCCTGCAGGCTTCTGCCTGCTCCCTCTACTGCAGCTGGCCAGGCTACTCTTGGGTCCCTGTTGACCTCTGCCCTCCGGTCAAATGCCGCATCCTGAGAACACTGAGTTCCAGGTCTTCGAGTGTAGATCGCCCCCAACGTCATCTCCCAGAGCGACTGCCCATGTCTTCCTGGATTGCTGTACCCGACTTCTGTCATTTGTGCAAGGGAGGACTCTGTGCCGCCGTGGCCAGCGCAGGTCTGGCACAGAGCTGGAGGACAGAGGTGGACTTGGTCACACAGCAATGGGACAGACACAGGGTCCCCTACGTCCTCGCCCTGGGGAGCAAAGAAGCAGGAGGCAGAGTGAGAGGACACAGCAGCTCAGCGGCAGCAGAAGCGGAGACTTCAGGCAAGAGGCGGGGAGAGGGGAAGTCCAGATGACCAGCGGGAAATGCCCGCAGCCAGAGATGTCTCCCCAGAGCGGGAAGGGGAGGATGTCACAGGGAAGTCAGAGTGTGGCCCCGAGCGACCTCGAGCCAGGCCCAAGGCCCGGCCCCAGCCCTCAGTGACCCCAACTCCACACACACCCGCCGCACTCTCGTCTGCACAGGTGGAGGAGGAGGACACACACATCCCCTGATGGTGGGGAGGGACTTGCAGGGGCCCAGTGGGACCCACAGGCAGGCGAGTATACGGGAAGGGAATGCATAAGGAGCAGGGATGGGTGCTCGTGTGACACTGGCCCGGAAGACCAGGGCAGGACTCAACACTCTGACACTTAGGGACACTGGCTGTCGCCATGACAATGTCTCAGCACACACGCGTCTGTGACACACTCAGCTGCCAGTCCTATGAGAGTCAAGCACACATGCATTCACACAGTGCCTGATACTCAGCAGGGCTAACAAACGGCTGTGTCACCAGCTTCTGCACTGACCATGTGACATTTTCATTGTCATCCAGATGACATGGCCCACATGTGACCTGTGGGAGGGGCATGCACATTTTCAATAAAAATAGCCCTAAACGGGGAGCTGTGGTTCATATACATGTGAACTATATTCTATATTTTATGCACAGCCCAAAACCATTGCTGTCAGCTCAGGGTGGCCCAGGCAAGGTGGCTTACTGTGTGCGCCTTGAACCGGTTAAAAATAATTTACCATAAAACACTACTCATGGCCGGGGACTTAGCTCAGCCACTCAGGTCCCTGCCTGGTAAATGTGAGGTCCTGAGTTCGATCCCCAGCGCCAAGGAAAAATAAAACACCACTCATGTTTGCATGGGTCCTGAGCATAGCCAGAGGCCAGCCAGGTCGTGAGTACCACATAGATTTGGGTGTTCAGTGACAAAGTCACCAAACCCAGTGACGTCTTTCTGAGAACCTGTCCTGCTATCAGGTGCTGTGGGCTGTAGTCACCAAATGTTGGCTAGTGCTCTGGGAGCTGGGCTGAGCTGATGTGATCTCAGCAGGAAAAGGTCCAGCGCGAAAGAGCTCGTGGAGCCAGAGGGCAGCAGGACCCGAGCACAGACCGAGGAGTCAGGGGTGCCGACACAGGGCACTGCAAAGTGCTGACAACACAGAGAACCAGGCGCTGAGAGTCAGGATTCCAGAAGGCCCCGACAGTCTGCTTTGGGAGCCAAGTCACAGCCCAAGGTGGGGGGCCCCGTCTCTCTCACCTGCACGAACATCCTCTGCCCTTGAAGGTCACTCTCTAAAGGCTCATCCTTGTCCACGGGAAAGACATAGAAGAGGTACAGGCACTGGAGGAGCAGGGCGGGGAGCCCGGACTCGGCCACTCTGCCCAGTGTCTCCTGCAAGGGAAGAGCACGTGTGAGCTGGACCCACCTCACCCGTGGTCAGGGCTGTGGAGACATCGCTTCTCTCTGAGTCCCACACTGTCAAGTGCAAAACGCAGGCAACCATGGGTCCCACCGAGGTGCCCGTGGAAATGAGGTTTATATAAGCGCTAAGGTTATCTTTCTTAAAAGGTACATGGAGGAGGAAGGGGAAGAAAGGAGGAAAAACAGAAAGAAGAAGAGAGAGAAAGGGAGAGAGAGGCAATGCAGGAAGGCACCGGAAACCAGATCACAAAGGTTTCCCTGCAAATCACAGCCACCGAGATGGGTGATGGGTGTGTGAGTGACAGGGCCCCCCTGCAAGGCACCCACCATCTGGCCCCAATCCCAGACTTTGCCAAGACCACAGTGGGCCACCCGAGGTGCCACACAGCAGCCTGGGCTGCAGCCAAGGCCACAGAAGAGCAGGGCAGTGGAGATGGAGCTTCCTGGGATCTCACTTCCCTGGAATCAGGACGTGTCTGTCACCCAGCTGCCCTGAAGGGCCCACTTGTTCCGGTGCACAGCAAGCCCTTGTTTGAACCCGTGTCCACTTAGCTACCTCAGAGAAGCTTCCAGAGAGAGCAAGCCCTGGCTGTGGGTCTCAGGCTGCTGTACCCCATGGTGGACCTGCCAGTCCTGCTAAGGAGTGTCCAGGGGTCCTTCCTGAATCAGAACTGGCTTTGGCTCCCCCCAGACCATGCCCCCTGCTCTGAGGGCCTGCCCCGGTGTTCCCCACCTACACCTGTGCCAAGCAGGGGTCTCTGGGCTGCCCTGCATGGGATCTTGGCCATTTCTGCTGGTGGCCACAGCTACCAAAGCCCACTTCCCCCGGAAAGGACACAAATCACCTGTACCTTCATAGGGCCGATGCCCCAAGCTCAGCACCACAGGGTGGCGCTGTGGCCCAGGGTGCAGATTTATTAGGAAGCAAAGACAGAACAAAGGCTCAGAGGGGCCCTGGGTGATACCCAAGGTGCTTTCTCACCAGTGAGACTCAAAGTTTCTGGGGATAGGTCGCCTGGCACCGTGAGTGGACCTGCCAGCCTTGCCCCGCAGCAGGAAACAGTAAGGGCCAGTCCTTCATACCCCACCTGTCCATCCTGCGGGAGGCCTCTGTACCTGGGGGCACCCAGCAGAGGCCGAGGTGCTCACCTCATCCGTCCCGGTGAGCACGTACACCGACTTGAGGAGCAGGTGGCCATCCTGATCCGTGTCTCCTCGCCACCTTAGCAGCTGTCCCGCGGCCACCCGTGCTTCTTCTGGAACACAACGAACAGCTGGAGTACAGGACCTGTGCACTCCAGCTCCTTGCACTGGGGTCCTCCCTCTGCCCCTCACATGGGACCAGCCCTGCACCTGCAGAGGCCCCAGCCTGCAGCTCACACCCTAGTGGCCAGGTGAGTCTGCCAGGACAGGCTGCATGGTGCCACCAGCCCTGCCTGATGGCCCAAGCCGGGGACCCCTGGTGGGCTTTGTGCTCCTCCTCCTCCTGTCCCCAACCATGGCATGCACGCTTCACCCCGTCACAGAGCAGAACTGTGCAGCCCACAGAGCCCGTAAAAGAGATGCTCTGCTCTCTGCAGAGGCCCTGCCCTGTGTGTGCATCTGTGTGAGAAGTGTGCTGTGTGTGTGGCACTGTGTGTCCCTGTGTGTGTGAGGGCGCATCTGCGTGAGTCACATGTGTGTAGTGTCTCTGTGCGATCATGTCTGTGTGCGATGAGTCCCTTTGACCTGGGTGTGTTTTAATCGATGTGTGTGCAGTCCTGTGTGTAGGTGTGTCGGGCTCTGTATGCCTGTGTCTGTGTCTCTGTACGCACAGTGTGCCCTTGCGTGTCTGCGTGTGCAGCCTGTGTACTATGAGTGTGTGTATCTGTGGCCGAGCTCTCTGACCCCGCCTGCTCCCCACATTTCCCTCCATCCCGAAGATCTCAGGGACACAGCGGGTGCTGGTCCTGTCTGGGCTCTGCCGGGCTGCAGGAGGAGGCCGAGGCAGGCGAGAGTGAGCAGAGCTCTGCCTGCAGCCTGGCTCCCGCACGCTGCTGACTTACCTGCAGGCTTCCCGGCCAGCGCCCTCTCGATTTGTTGGGCGAGCTGGTTGGAGACATCTCCTGCCAGCCTCTGGAGACTGGGGAAGCAGATGATGCCCACCGAGTGCTTCCAGGCCTGGTGAACAGCAAACAGGACTGGGTCAGAGGTGTCAGCGCTGCGGGTAAGGCAGGCAATTACCTTCCTCCCTCCCGGCCAGCCTGTCGCTGGCTCAGCTTTCCCAGATGGGTCCCAAAGTCCACCCCATCGTCAGCTTGGCTTCACGGGGATCCCACGCAGTGCCTCTCAGTGAGCCCCAGACCCACACACGCCATCGCCCCAGACCCCTTCTCAGGCACGTCCCCAGCTGCTGCACCTGATATCGGGGTGGTCCTGCCACACATCCAGCTGCCCGTTGGGAGCCTAGAGTGACCCTGTGCCCTCCTCACGCCTCCCTTACCTGTCAACGGCTGCGTCTGACCCGCCTCTTACCCAATACTTTTCTCTCTGCTGATGATATAATGAAATGCCTGAAGCTTTATATAGAACAGAGGTGCTGGAGGGAGCGTAAGATCCAGGTCCAGTGGTCTCCTCTGTCTGGGCTCTGGTGAGGGCACCGTAACTGTGCCCCATCATAGCAGAGAGGCAGAAACAGGCAGCCACGTGCAGAGGTGCCTAGGGCACAGGGCACCAGCACCGATCCCTCCCCAAGGCTGTGGCCCCATATGGTGATCACCTTCCAGGGCCCCGCCCCCTGACTTTCCACGCTCCAGCTCACGCCACTGGAGACCCAGCTTCTAGCCCGTCAGCCTTGGGGGGCGCACTCAGTCCACGCCAGACCACAGCGCAGCTTTCAGATCTCACACGGCCAACTTTGCTCTAGCCGTTCAATGACTTCTTTGAGATAAACTCAAAAAAGTAGGAGTGCCAGTTAAAGTGGGCACCATTCCCTCAGGGCTTTGGTGCATGCTGCTAGCTCATTCTCCCAATAAGGTTTGCCAGGTTGCACTCCTGGGCAAGGTTGGACTCCTGGGTGTGAAGCTGGCTTTTCCACACCCACATGCGTGTTTTCACAAATGTAGCTCATCTCAGCTTTAGGCTTTTGATTACCGGAGTGGATAAACAGCTTCACCAAGTCCCGAATTTTTATTCTCAGCCTATACTATCTATTAAGATTTGGTCGGCTTTGTTTAAAGAAGATCTTTATGGGTTAAGAGTTAGCCTTTGACCTTAGCACAATTGCAGAATTTCAGGTTTCTTGTCTGTCTGTTAATTTGGCATGCTTTTGGTTTAGTTGTCCATAAATCTAAAATTCACATGAAATCAAATTTCCCTCAAGCGGGACCAAGCCCAGGCACACATCTTCCCTGCCACCCTCCCCACCTCGGAGGTGGGCACTATCTTAACGCCCACTTTGCACGAACTGAGCCTGAGCTGGTGCAGAAGCCCACAGCGTCAGCACCCGGATGTGAATGCTTTCGCGTGCACGGGACACGTCCAAGCAGCATTTGCCTGTCTGGGAAACTGGTGGTGGCCACCTAGACTCAGCGGTTGGTCACCTGGCATGGCCAGCCTAGAAGAAAGCCCATCTTCTAAGCTCAGGACTTCTGTGGGAAGATGATTTCTCTCCCCAGGACCACAAATGTTGCTGGGATGTCTTTGTAACAAATGCCAGCTCCCGCCCCTGCACCAGCGAGCCCTTCAAAGACCAATTTGCAGGCAGTTGACTTAGAGCATCGATATCGATTGTCTCCAAGGGCCGGGACTCCAGGCGGGCTCTACAATAAAGCAAATTGGGCCACTGTGACTTGAACAGTAATTGTACTCAGAGCCGCTCTCCCAAGGCTCCAGCTCCTTCCTGGGACTGTCATGGGCTCTTTCTGGCCACTTTAACTCTTTCAGGCCACTAGGGTGCCGTTTGACACGTGGAGCTGATCATTTGCTGAATAGCACCACAGAGACCCAAAGAGTTAAAGCAGCTTCCAAAAGGCCTCATTTCTCTCCCCAAACTGGGACTTGCACGCTGGGCGAATATTGCTCAATATTTTTTGAAAACTTATTTACTGACATTGTCTCCGCTGTACCATCACGCCCGTGGCCGTCCCTCTCGTGGAACAAAGAGAAAATGATGCTCTAGTCTCTCAAGGAAAATCAGAACGCAAGCTCTTAAGGAGATGCTGAGGGAAACTCAGCTTTCGAATGACAAAGGGAAGCCGGTGGTTTTCCAGCCTGACCGGGATGTTCCTCTCGCGGTTACAGCAGGGCCGGAATTTGTCTTTCAGTGTGTTTCTGCCAACCTGAGACGGTCCCTGAGGTTCACCAGCTAGCATGACACAGCGGGCGACCTCCTTTGTAAGTTTAAAAATTAAAAAAGTACCGCATCAAAGCTTCACTGAAAGAATAAAAATTTCGATTGTCAGTTAGATCCGCCCTTGGTGTATGAATAACTGACCACACTCAAGGGCGTGAGCTCGGCACCGCTGCACCGCTCAGGGTAGTTAGCCTGAGAGTGGGCAAACACACACACACACACACACACACACACACACACACACACACACACAACACACGCATGCATGCATGCACACGCACGGCACACACGCGTGCGTGCACACCTCTATGTTGTGGATTCCTCCCCATGTCATCCACTGTCACAGTTACCTATTGCTGCCTGAAAAACCACCCCAAAATTGAGTGACTTAAAACGATGGTGTCATCAGTTTAGCTCATGGATCTGGAACTTGGGCCGGAGTCAAAAAGCATGGCCGCCTCTGCACCAGGCAGCTAGGGCAGCCGAGCAGGGCGGAGCCACCTCCCGGGCGGCACCCGTGTGGCTGGGAGGTAGTTCTGGCTGCGGGCAGCAGTCACGGCTGCAGGTTGGGGGCTCAGTTCTTCTCTGAGTAGGCTTTTACTCTGTTCTCACAGAGCTGCCGGGCCCTGGGTGCGAATATTCCAGGCAACAAGAAACAGCAGCTCGAGGCTCCCTTGTCTGTATCAGCGCGGCCCAGCCCAGGCATCACCCATCCACTCAGATTTAAGGACAGGGGACACAGACCTCATGCTCTGCTTGGAGGAGTGGGACCCGGTTCACACATCACCACCCACCACACCCGCACATCTCTGGGTATCCCGCCGTGATCCCACCCAGACTACCTGTCCCACACCCTGGGGGATTTTACACCTACTGTGGGCATGTGCTGCTTCCTACACATCCTAAGAACCTGCTTCACCCGCTATCTCTGTAGCTCTGCATTGTGCATACCATGCCACAGAGCGTCTCTGAGCAACGGGGGGACCTGGAGGCTTCCCTTCCACTGAAGCAAACTCAGCCCCAGACCAGGACCCGCCACCTGCCATGTTCACTACTGGAAGCCGTTTCTTGTGGTGTGATGACCTGTGAGCAAACAGGGCACTGGAAAGACCAAGGCTGAGAGGAGCGATTGCATCAGGAATCCTTCCTACAGACACCGCCCTGCACGCTGCCAGGCCATCGGCCCCACGCCACTTCCTATGTGAAGCAGCGAAGCCCTTTCCCGACCTGCAATATCCTGCAGTCAGTTCTCCAAACATCACAAGGGCACAGGGTGACAATGTTTTTGTGCCCAAACGAAAAGCAAGTTCCTAGACAGCAAAGTCATTGTCTAGTGAGTCATGGATAGATAGAGAAAGAGAAACCAGATACAGCCACACAGGCTGGCACAGAGCAACGCAACCCTCGGCCGGTCAGCAGTAGAGACTCGGGTAGACCAGATGGTTCCAGTCCGCAGCTAACCACCTGGACTGTGTTACTCCCCATCTGCAAACCCTTTCCACAGTGCTGATGCAAGGACTCGGGAATATTCTCCATAAACTCTGCTTAGCCAGCCACAGCCTGGGAAATATGACCTTGTCATTACCAGCAACAGCAGCTGCTTGTCCGGACGTCAGGAGTTCACCTGGAGGCCCTGCGCCTCCCTAACTTTGAACTCAGGGCGTTAGTCACTTTTGCATCACTCAGACAAAATACCTGACACCTCCAGCTCAAAGGAGAAGAGGTGTATTTTCCTTCAGGTTTTCAGTCCATAGTTGGCCAGCTGCAAGAGGGGGAAATACGGTGGAGAAGAACAGGGAAGAACAGCTGCTCACGCTGCCATGCAGCCAGAAAGAGAGACGGCACGCATCACAGAGGGACATAAATCCTCCAGTGCACGTCCAGCGACCTGCCACCTCTGACCAGACCCCGCCTCCAAACAGCAGGTCCACGATAGCACCGCACAGTCCCGTCCTCTCCCGACATCCCTGCCCATGAGCACATGAGGGTGTTGGGGACATACCGGTGTAAACCATGAGAGGTGCGGTTTCCTCCCAGGATCGTGCATTTCTCATGTGGATACTGCTCGACTGCTGGAGACTATTCCTCTTTGTTCTGATTCTTCCTTTCCTTTCCTTTCTTTCTTTCTTTTTTTCTTTCTTTCTGTCATTTGACTTTGGCTGATGCTACCTGAACCATAGACACACTGTCCCTGCTCTAGGATGGTTGGATTTACATTGTTTTTTGATGCTACAATGGGCAAAATTAATACATATTTAGTAGAAACCAGACTTTGAATTCTGATCTCCCTGCTGGAGCTCCCAGTCCAGGAGATACTAGGAAATCTCCCACCACAGAGACTCTTGAGTGACTGAGTGACCTGCAGTCAGTCTTCAGCCCAGAAGGCAACAGGAGACAGAACAAGCCAAGGCCAGCCTCACACCTACCCAAGAGTCAACTGCTTCCATGGGAACAGTGACAGAAACATGGGAGGAGGCCCTTCCTGCTGTGTGTTTTGGAGTCAGCTATGGGAGAAAATCAGAGGGGGAGAAAAATCTCTGCAAAGAAGTTGCCAAACCAACAGCCCTGAGATCCTGAGAGTCAGCTGCCCAGGACCAGGGCCATGTCAAACCTCGAGATGCCCCAGGCTGCAGCAGGTGACAGCTACGGAGGTGGGCAGGGCATGGCCATCGACCTCCAGCCACGCCCTGACCTCGTAGGTCACTCCTTCCTGATAGAGAACCGGGTGTCAGGCAGGACCCCACACCCCAGGAATGCAGAGACCTCTCAAACGCTCTGGCGTGCATTGCTTTGGTACAATGCATATCGCAGACCATCCTGAAGAGTCAAGCATAGGACCAAGTTCCACCGAGCAAAGTACCTCAAGCCCTCTTCAACTGAAGTAGTTCAAGACGCATATAATCACCCAGGAGTCTCAAATCTCAAACTGGGCATGGTTTCCATGACAACCAGTCTGTGCATAAGGCTTTGATGTTCAGGGCCTCATGGCATGAGAAATGATATAATTTTTTAGGTTCTGGTATTTCCAAGGGAGCCCTTCCCAGACATCTTTGAAGAGCGCTGCTTTTCCGCTGTAAAACCCAAAACAGCATGTTTACAAGCATGCCTGCTTACACAAGGGCTTTTATTCCAACAAATGTTCTCGGGCGTTAGATACAGCTCAGCTCTGATCTGCACGATGTCTCCCACCCCCACCTTCCTTCCTAGCAGTTCTTAATTAAGAAGGCTGAGGACCCAGACCGGGTTTTATTAGTCAAAACTAAAGAGAAAAAACAGGTTCGTAGGCATTGCAGGACTTAATAAACGAGCACAGATATTAAGGAAATGATGAGAAGCCTGTAATATTTGGCCTCTACAGGGCTCGTCAGAGGTGGGCTCCAGGGAGCCAAAGCAAAGGAGGTTGTGTCAGCAATTTGGGGAGTGGTAGAGACGGGGTCAGCGACAGTCAGGCACGGGGCAGAAGGTGCCGGGTGGCTGCAGGAAGGTACGGCCGTGTCCTCTTCCCAGTACCACGACTCTGCGGTCCCCGGCCTGTCTCCCACCTGAATGGCACTGATTTCCCTTCACAGATGAGGAAACCGAGCTAGAGAAGGTCAGAACCAAAATCACACTCCTGCGCTCTCTGACCCAAAGGCCCGTGTACGCATTGTATCCACACCGCACCCCAAAAACATGTAAAATCACTATGCATCAGTTATAACCAATCTATAATGTGTATGGAGTCGGAAGAGATCCAGAACAGCCAAAGCGATTTTTTTTTTTGTACCAGGGATTGAACTCACAACCACGCGCTTGCAAGGCAGGCCTTTATGCAGCTGAGCTAAATCCCAGGACAACCAAAGAGATCTTGAGGGGAGGAAAAAACAAAAAAATGGAACCATGGCAATTTCTGATTTTAAGTTTTATACTACAAAGGTAGAGTAACAAAAACAGCATGGAAACGGCATGAAGAAAAACATGGGACCAACGGAACCAACCAGAAGGCAAAAACAATCCCACGTGCCTGCTGCTGTCTGGTTTTTGACAAAGGTGTCATACACATAGATGGGAGGAAAGGCAGCCTCTTGAACAAATGTGCCTGGGAAACCGATTAGTCATGTACCAAACGAGGCCCCTACCACTAACCCTGCACGAAAATCAAATTAAAATCAGGTCAGAGACCTAGATACAAAAGCTGGCTCTTGGGAACTGCTCAAAGTCAAAGAGGGAGCCACAGAGACAGGCGAGGGCTTCCGGGACAATACCGGGAATCAACAGGCAGGGCTACGTCACATCACAAGCTCTGCACAGCAAAAGGACCGGCGGACAGTGAAGAAACCAGCTACGGAAGGGGCCAAATCGCCCGCTAGGCTAAGATTCTGTGTGGCCCGCCTTCGCTGTGTGAGCTATCAACTGACTTAAAGACAGCAGCTGAGATGCTGTCCACACCCAAGTTTATAACAGCGCAGGTCACAACAGCCGAGCTCTGGGAACGGCCAGGTCCCCATCCAGAGACGAGTGGACAGAGGAAAGGAACACAGGTAGAGGGGTGGGTGTGGACGTGGATGTATGGATACAGATAGAGACAGAGACAGAGACAGAGACAGAGATAGAGACAGAGAGAGAGAGAGAGAGAGACAGAAACAGAGACAGAGACAGAGATAGAGACAGAGACAGAGATAGAGACAGACAGAGATAGAGACAGAGATAGAGATAGAGACAGAGACAGAGACAGAGACAGAGATAGAGACAGAGATAGAGACAGACAGAGATAGAGACAGAGACAGACATAGAGACAGAGATAGAGACAGAGACAGAGATAGAGACAGAAATAGAGACAGAGATAGAGACAGAGACAGAGACAGAGATAGAGACAGAGACAGACATAGAGACAGAGATAGAGACAGAGACAGAGATAGAGACAGACAGAGACAGAGACAGAGAGAGACAGAGACAGAGAGAGACAGACAGAGACACAGACAGAGATAGAGACAGAGATAGACACAGAGACAGACATAGAGACAGAGATAGACACAGAGAGACATAGAGACAGAGATAGACACAGAGACAGAGATAGAGACAGAGACAGAGACAGAGATACAGATACAGATACAGATAGAGACAGAGATAGAGATAGAGACAGAGACACAGACAGAGATAGAGACAGACATAGAGATAGAGACAGAGACAGACATAGAGACAGAGATAGAGACAGACAGAGACAGAGACAGAGATAGAGATACAGATACAGACAGAGACAGAGACAGAGATAGAGATAGAGATAGAGATACATAGGAGGTATCTACCAGTGATGAATTAATTCAGGGCATTTGCAGGAACATGGGTGGGCCTTGAGGCCATAATGCCAAATGATGTAAGTCAGACACAGAGAGTTAGACATCACATGGTTTCTCTTCACATGAGAAAAAAATTATAAACAAACTAGAGTAAAATAAAGGCAGACACTTTGAAATTGAAGAAAGGGGTTAGGGAATCAGGGATAAGGGCGTCAAAAATTACCAAGATACGTTTATGCATAGAAATGTGCCCATTCCCCAGAGAGAATGTCACCACCCTGTACTGCACATGTACACTGATTCTTTAATTTAATTTTCAGTACAGTTTCATCAAAGGAACGCTGACCTTTAGGAACAGAGGGAGAAGGCTCAGCAGGCTCCTCTGACGTCCTTCTGGGGTCCTGTGTGTCACCTGCTGGTGCTCCAGGAACTTCCTTTCCAGCGTGTCCCAGAGCACCGTGGGGTCGGGGCTCTGCCCCCCGGGTGGGCAGTCAGGACCTCCTTCGTCTCGGGAGCCTGGGTCCTCAGCTCTGTCTTCGGCCTGTGGGAGCGCTCCCGCCTCCATGCTCGTCAAAGCAGATCTGAATCCAGAGCAAACAAAGAAAATAAAAAGCCCTGCCTGCATCGTCACTTCCTGGCCACCGCCTGCCCGCCGCGGGACAAACCCTGGGCTCATTCGGCGGCTCAGTTCCTCCTGAAGAGAGTTCCTCTCCGAACCTGAAACTCACTCAAATGAGGAAGGCTTTTAAAAAGGAGAGTCTGATTTAGGTGAAACCGAAATGTGAGCCAGTGTGTGCCAGGCGCCGGGCTGGGCTCCCCGCAGCTGTGCTTCTGCTCTGGGTGTGCGGGGAGAAACCCTCCGGGCCAAGAAAAAGAGCAACTGGACCCAGGTCCTCACAGGCGCCTCCAAGGCGAAAGCACGCTGGTTTTCCTAACCACCCCGTACTTTGAGAGTAAGCAAAGGAGTTGTGTAAATACGAGGCTGGGCAACGGTGGGTGTTTAAATGGTTAAGGAGCAGCACGGTGCCCGTCCTTTCTGAAGCCGGTCTGCAAGCCTTCCTCTGTGAGTCTTCCCGGGCGTGATCACAAATGTAAAGGCTGTGGCTGCCCAGGGCCATCGGGGGACGGCAGCTCAGACAAACACCACGGTGGGTCCCCGAGCGCCACAGAGCCCCACCTGGCGCCCTGGACCGCTGGCTCCTCCCGAGGGCACAGGGATGCTGAAAGTTCTGAACTGATTCGGGACACGGAGGCAGCCGTGACGGTGGAACTGGGCATTCCGGAGAGGAAACTTAGCAAAAAGATTGGGTGTGCTCAAAGCGCGGAGATCATTCTGAGGGGTTAAGAGCAACGCATCTTTTACTGTAGTAATTTTGTTTTAATTTAAACATTCACCCTGTGCTCAGCCATGCCTAATACTGTATCGGTATTTGTAAATGTATGAAATACTTCTTTAAAATTATTTATTTTTTAAATTAAGATACAATTTACGTACCATAGAGTTCACATATCTAAGGGTGTATAATTCCATTCTTGGGGTATATACTATCAGCAAGTTTTCAGGGTTGTAGCAATGTCTATGTGCACCATTTTTAACTTTTTTTTACATGCACACGTAAGTAGTGTAAATTTGTACACAGAATTGTGTGGCTACCGCCACCATTCACTCCCAGCCTTCCTGGCAGGTGTGGGAGTCTGCATCTGACCATCGCTTCCGCCTACCCCGTGAGTCGGGAGCGACAGACCCTGTATCCTTAGCACTGTGTTGGTTCACACCCCATAGCTGTGACCTCCTCTAGTGACCCCCTGAGTCCCCAAGCTTACAGAAGCCCTCTCCAAGGGCACCCAGGAACGGGCTGTGCAGGCCAGCAGTGTGGACTCAGGAGATGAAAACAGCCAAGACCCGATCCCCAGACAGGCAGCCCCCAGTTCTGCCTTTATTCATACCCTTGATTTTTCAGGCGTCCAGCCTTTGAGGTGAGTGGCAGTGACGGACAGCATAACAGGGGTTTGGGGTTTGTTTGTCTGTCATACAACAAACTCTAAGGACAGACCTAGATGTCCAGACTCCCTGCGTGAAGCACCTCAAACTCAACGTCGCCATGTGGAAACCTGCCCACAATCATAGGGTAGTGACCAGAGGGACACACAGAGGCAGGTCACCCGGAGTGTCTCTCTGGCCACACAGAGGAGGCACATCATACTTTGTGTCTGGTCTGGGCACACACTCCTTGGAGGCCAAAATGGGAGTTAGTTCCGCGTCACTTGGGAAAGTTTACCATTCCCCCTGAAACGTCCTCACACTTGGTTGTACAAATCTGTATGTCCCCGGCTTCTCTTAAATCACATGCTTCTTAGCTCAGACTTTATTTAGACAAATCATTTCTTTAATGGGTGAACAAATTGTGGTATATCCATGCAGTGGAATACTATACAACCCATTAAAATGGCATAAACTATTGACACACTAGGATCAACACATTAGGCCAAGTGAAAGAAACAAAACATAAAATATCTCAGTGAAAAGAATCCATTTATGTGAAACTAGAAAGCAAACAATCTCAGTGGATGAAAAAGATTAGCACCTCCTGGAGATTAAGAGTGGGGAAGACAGACTTTGATAGGCAGGGTCAAAATAGAATTTCCCGTGCTGTGATAATGTCTGGTACCAGTGTGGTAGTGGTTACACACACGTTTACATCTGATAAAACTTACAAAGTGTTAAGCTTAAGAAAAGTGTGGCACAGTTTGGCTCTGAAGGAGCACTAAAGGCCCGTGTGTTGAAAGCTCGGTCCCAAGCTTAGTGTTCTTGGCCATGATGGGAACTTTAAGAGGCAGCTACTAGTGGGCCTGGTGGGAGACCTTCTGGCTCCTGGAGGAGTGGCCTCCACAGACCTGGGGGTCCTTGCCCTCCCCGTGTCTGCCTTTCACCCCCATCATGAGCCTGGCTTCCTTGCAGGCTGCTGATTGGACGAAGGAGTCACTGGGCCAGGGACTGAGCCTCCGAAACTGTGAGCCAAAATGAACCCTTTCTCTAAGTGTATTATCATGGTGTTCTTCATATATGTGAATTCCAACTCCAAGTCAATTAAAAATTACACGGAGCACGAAGATTCAGTTGCCCGTGGAAAAGCAGAACATAAAACAATGTAAAATTCAGTCAGAAAGCATTTTCTTGCTACAAAAGTGATGTCAGTTCATTGTCGAAACCCGAGAAGGAAGACAATAAAACCAGAAAACCAATCGCTAATAGTTCAGCTTCTGTCTGTGACGATGTCACTAATAAGAATATCTTTTAATATTGCAGATGCAAGATTTTTTACTTACACTTTGATTTAACTGGGCGTCTGGCTGGGGCTTGGGAACGGCTCTTGGTTTTGGGGGGAGTTGAACCCCGGGAAGGACGGCGGGGCTGCCCACACCCAACTCCGTCCCTGCCTTGGGCAGGCTGTCCTCAGCTTTGCTCCCCAGTGTGTCTGCTCCTTGGACATCCGTCCCCACGCCGCCCCCTGGAGCACGGCCCCCTCCCCAAGGCCAGGAGTCTGCACACCGCATTTCCGGGCCCAGGGCTTCCCGTGTGTCACCGTTTTGCTCAGCATTATGTCCCTGGACCCGAGCGTTCATCAAGTCGGCCTCCACCTTGCACCCCAGAGGGGACATCACACGCTATTTACCTGTCTGTTCCCAAAGTGACCTGAGATGGCTCATTGTACGACTTCCAGTCTGCACACAGGGCTGCGGGGACAGGTCCGTGCAGGTCCCTCGCAGGCAGCCAAAGATGGTCTCCGCAGGAGCAGCTTACAGACGCACGCCTGCCCAAGGCCACCCGGTCCCACAAGACGGCTCCGGAAGCCTGCGTCACCGCCCTGCTGCACCAGGCGCCCGAGGACTCTGTCACTTCACAGCCACCTCTGTGGCCTGCTCCAGCCCTCCAAGCTGCAGTCACCCCACCATCCCGTCAAGCCACGGAACGCGATCCTCGCTCCCGAGGGCCCGCTCTGCGAGCTGACTTCTCCTAACCTGAGCCTACTTTTCTGTAGAAGCTTTGTTTCTTGTTTTACGAGACAGAGAATGTTCTAGAAGTCAGGTCACCGCGGTCAGCGCTGCTGTGACCATGTCTTGAGTCTGCCTCTTCCTGGTTACTCGGGATCAATTCCCGGAGTCCCCACAGGCAGGGCTGGACCTAACGGTGGGTGAACTGTTCAGACTCTTAGCCCATTTTTCCCCAAAGTGGGATCTTAACTTTAGTTAAAATTTTGGGTTTTGTTCATCGTGGATTTTTTGCATTCATTTGGTTTTTAACCATAGTGCATAATTTATCATTGCCTTCATCCCGAGGCAAGCTGGCACCTGGAATCAGACTGCTGTTTACATACAGCAAAGTACTACTCTGCCATAAAGAAGGATAATCTGGGTTCATTTTGCAGGAAAATGGGTGAACTCAGATGAGACCATAATGTTTAGTGAAATAAATCAGAGGCACAAGCTTAAATATCTCATGATTTCACTTATATAAGGAGCTCAAAGTACATATAAAATAAAAAGAAAAAGAAAAATAGATCCTAGAAAACAGGGAGGTAGATCGCTTGCAGGTGGAAGGGGGACCAGGAGACGGAAAGGCTACGGCCAGAATTAAGATGCACCCTGTGCAGGCACCAGCTTCCCGTGAGGAGTGTCATCACTGCATGCTACAAAAATGAACTAATAAAAATAAAACCTAAAAACAGAGTTGCATTCCAGCATGGGTGCCTAGCAACAGGCCTCAGCCTCTCCTCAGGGCTTAAAAAACCCAGAAAGCCACATCCCCACGAAGCACCAGCTGTGCAAAAGAGAGATCACTGTGCTCGTGATGAGCTGGGACCAAGTAGATGCTCAATAAACAAAACACTCCTGATCGCTGAGTCAGGGAAAGGGCGGATGCAGCGGCCGGAGCTCGGCCCCTTCCTCTCCTCTCCCTCCCGCTCCTCCGGGAGCTGCGTGTCTGCCTTTCTGCCAGACGCTTACCTTGGTTCTCCCAAACATGCAACAGTACTGTGTCGCCTCAAACTGCCATCCATGACACCGAGGGCCCACCCTCGTCCCTTCTCAGTCTCCCCTGCCCACATGGAGCCATTCATCCCTGGGGATTGGTGCCCTTGAGCTCTGTGCCATCACTGTCCTGTAAGGGTCACTGTGTGGTCGGCCATCTGAGGAGCAGCTCAATGCCCCCGTCCAGGAGGATCAAGCAGCGAGTCAGCACTGGCCTCCGGATCAGACCCACAAGGCCCAGACACAGCACCCAGCAGTAAGCAGCAGTGGCCGTGCCCAAGGTCACCATCCCCTCCTCCCAGCTGCCCGGTTTACCGAACCGAAACGCTCCCCTCACCTTCGGGAAGGCCCAAGGATTTTTGAGAAACAAGAAATAAATGAGGATCCGTGAAGCGGCCCGGAGTTGCTGTCTGACTCACATCAGGGCTGTGGCTGCCCATCCCGTCCCGTCCCATCCGCCCTGCGCCTGCTTCTGCTCGCTCGTCCGGAGGGGAACGGGGTGTCCCCGCAGGTGAGGACCCGCTGTGCAAAATCTACCTCGACACCCAAGGGC